TTCTGATGAGAAAACCCCATCCCTCTCTCAAAGAACAGAGAGGAGTTGGATTTTCAGATGTTTTACTGAGTTTATTCTCTTGTTCATCATCATGAAAAAAGAAAATCAGGTGAAAATCCTGATTTCTGTATTCAGGTGAAATTCCCTGATTTCTGTTCTTCATGTGAAAATCCTGATTTCTGTTCAGGTGCAAATCCCTGAATTCTGTTCTCCAGGTGAAAATCCTGATTTCTGTTCAGGTGAAAATCCTGATTTCTGTTATTCAGGTGAAAATCCCTGATTTCTGTTCTTTGGGTGAAAATCCCTGATTTCTGTTCATGTGAAAATCCCTGATTTCTATTTAGGTGAAAATCCCTGATTTCTGTTCTTCAGGTGTAAATCCTGATTTCTGTTCTTCAGGTGAAAATCCCTGATTTCTGTTCTTAGGGTGAAAATCCTGAATTTTGTTCCTCAGGAGAAAATCCCTGATTTCTATTCAGGTGAAAATCCTGATTTCTGTACTCAGGTGGAAATCCCTGATTTCTGTATTCAGGTGAAATTCCCTGATTTCTGTTCTTCAGGGGAAAATCCTGATTTCTGTTCTTTGGGTGAAAATCCTGATTTCTGTTCATGTGAAAACCCCTGATTTCTGTTCTTTGGGTGAAAATCCTGATTTCTGTTCAGGTGAAAATCCCTGATTTCTGTTCATGTGAAAATCCCTGATTTCTGTTCTTTGGGTGAAAATCCTGATTTCTGTACTCAGGTGAAAATCCCTGATTTCTGTTCCTCAGGTGAAAATCCATGATTTCTGTTCTTCAGATGAAAATCGTAATTTCTGTTCTTCAGGTGAAAATCCTGATTTCTGTTATTCAGGTGAAAATCCCTGATTTCTGTTCCTCAGGAGAAAATCCCTGATTTCTGTTCTTTGGGTGAAAATCCCTGATTTTTATTCAGGTGTAAATCCTGATTTCTGTTCTTTGGGTGAAAATCCTGATTTCTGTTCCTCAATACCAAAATCCTTTGTGTTACTCAGGACTTGTGGTGGAAATGTTATTTTAGTTCTAAAGTAACTTTTTAAAAGACGTAGTTTGGTGTTACAAACAAGTTTCCTGTTGGAAATATTTCAATATTTTCTGCAATATCTGATGCTGCATTTTATTGGTCCTGTATTATATATATATTGTATATATATAATAGAGGACCGATAAAATATATAAATATATATATATATTTATATTTTTATATATATAAATACATATATATAAATATATATGTATATATATTTATATATATACTTATATATATATATGTATATATATAATAGAGGACCAATAAAATATGTAAATATATATATGTATCTATATAAATACATATATATAATATATATAAATATATATGTATATATATACTTATATATATATAAAAAATACAGGACCGATAAAATATATAAATATATATTTTATATTTAATATTTATATTTAATATATATAAATATATATAAAAATATATATATGTATATATATTTTTATATATATTTATATATACTTATATATATGTATATATATAATACAGGACCGATAAAATATGGAAATATATATGTTTATATTTATTATATATAAATACATATATATATATAAAATATATATAAATATATATGTATATATATTTTTATATATACTTATATATATGTGTATATATATAGTACAGGACCGATAAAATATGTGAATATATATATTTATATTTATTATATATATAAATACATATATATATAATAAATATATATGTGTATATATATACGTATATATATAATACAGGACCAATAAAATATATAAATAATACCGGACCATATATATATATATGTATTATATATATATATATAAAATGTATTTTATTACATTTCTAATGAGCCTCACTTGTCAGAGCAGTGCCAAATCCCAAATCCCATCTCCTGCAGTTTTCCTGACTTTGTTCCTTGTTCCCGCTCCAGCCCTTCTGAGCTCACCAGTCAGTAACTCACGGATCTCCCACTCGGGGTGGATTGATGGGGTTTTGCTGAACGCACAATTCTCACTGTCACTGCTCCTGTTCCCTTTCCCTCCAGCCTGTTCCGTGCCAGAATTTGTCATTTTGGGAAAATGCAGCCGATCTTGTGCTGATCTCCTCCATCCTGCAGCTGGGCAGCAGCAGTTGTTTGAATTCCTGAGCAGTGAGGGCAGATCCTCCCCCAGAGTTCCACATCAGCCCCTTGCTGCTGGAGAACAAGAATTTCTAAAGCAGATTTGGAGCAAATTTCCCAAATCTCCCCTCCCCAAATTTCATAAAGAAAGGAAACATTCCAAGGGACGTGTGCAATGAATTTATTTGTACTTGAAGAAATGGGAAATTGAGCTTTTTTTCCCCTCTCTGCTTCGATGGGGAGGGTATTCCTGCTTCTCCAGGTGGGTTAGGGCAGCCAGCTGCTGTGGTTTTTAATATCCTCTCTCTGTTTTGGGGCTCAGATTTCAGTTTAACCCTTATTTCAGTTTAACCCTTCCCTCCCTGCAGTCTCAGAAAGGGAAGCTGCTGCCCAGCCCCGTGGACTTCACCATTACTCCTGAAACTCTGCAAAATGTCAAAGAGGTAAAAGGATTTTCTTATTATTTTATCTTAAATGTGAAGTTTGTGTGTTTCTGAGTGAGACCAGAGGAGTGGTTAAGTTCTATCTTGTAGAATATCAGGCAGATTGTATTGGTTTTGTTTTTCCATTTTCTCTTTCACTTTTATAAGCAATCAAGTGATTCTGCTTCAATTGAAGGTGGAATTTTGCTCAGGAGTGGTTAAATATTTTTATTCCTTTCCTGAGTGAAAAATGGCACTGAAGCAAGGGAAACCATTCTATACATGGACAGGCAAGAGCCTTTAAAAATGTGGATTTTGAGCCTTGTTTGTGCCTTTTTTTTACAGCTCTCTGTGGCTTTGGGAAGCCTCAAGG